CAGGTTATTGCCCTCCTCCGCCATGCTGTCCACTACTCCCCAGTTCCCTCAAAAGATTTGACAAACTATCCACGAGTGGCGGTAAAGGTTCACTGCTAACGGGAAAATTGTCTCTCAACACCCTCCGCGCGATATCCAACACCATCCCCGAGGTCTCCACGTCGCCTCGCAACCACTCCCCGCCTCCATCTCTGTACGGCATATCCCTCAACCTCGGCATGCCCCGCCCAAGCTGCAGATACGCCCCCGTGTCTCTCGTTTCTTCCCCGTCGAGTATCACGATCGACGCATGCTGCTGTCTCTTCCCTGCCACCGGATCACCAAGCGAGGCGTCGGGCTCCCTCCGATAGAGAAGGAAGTAGATCCAAAGGGTGAGAGCAGAAAAGTATACAGCCATGGCGTTGAAGTCGCGGAGGGAGGCGGGAGGCATTTGGCGTGCGCAGCGGAGAACTTGGCCTGCGTGCCAGGCGGCGTAGCGGGCGTCGGGGTGGTGCATCCATCTGTTTTCGAGACAGGCAGAGGCTCGGCGGGCGGCGTCCTCGCCGGACTTGCCGGCGAAGTGTTGGAGGGTGTCGAGGGAAACGTGCAGTGTCATTTTGAGGAGCTCGGCGGTCAGGGCGAGTTCGGGGTTGGAAGATGGGGAGGAGGTGAGGTGGGAGGAGACGTCGGAGAGGTCGCGGTAGATTTCTTGTTGCTGGGTGTCGAGCCATAGGCGGCGGGGGGTGTTGTGCGTGCTGGAGGGGTTGTGCGTGCTGGAGGGGTTGTGCGTGCTGGAGGGGTTGTGCGTGCTGGAGGGGTTGTGGTTGTCGTAGAACTTGAGGCTTTCGCGGTAAGCGGTTATGACGGACCAAAAGCTGTTGAGCAAGACGCAGTAGCAGAGGTCCAGGTCTAATGCCTCGCCGAAGGTCTCCATGTTTGCGAGGGAGTGCACCATGTCGGAGACCCGAGGTAGTTTAGCGGTGGATATCAGGGGCTTCGAGAGGTAGCACGCCCGCCATGCTTCGGCTGATGGAGCGCGCCAGAGATCGCGGGAGGCTGGCGGGCTGAAGTTGAGCTCGGTGAAGGGCACGAGCGGAGGCTTCTGGAATGAGATTGATGTCTGGATATCATGTAGGAAGAGATGAAGGACAACCCTTGGGGCCATTAGCCTATGCAGACGCAAATCTGGAGCCATGTGTGCAATACCTTTTGTAGGATTCCTTCTTGATGAAGCTTCGCCACTTCGTTTCAAGCACATCGGGCGAGTCTGAGGGAAGAGGTGGAGGTGAGGCCGTGTCCGAGACGGCGGCAAAGATGCCAGCACGTCGAAGCATCTTCATAGCAGAGTTAGTCTAGGAGGGGACCAAGGTGCAAGGGGCAAGCCTACCGTCACCAAAGGGAGTAAAAAGCCCTCAGCAAGCTCGGTTCTGCGCTTGAAGCCACTCCAGATGCCGACGTCTAAGGAAAGCATATACGTTTGGATACAATCGAGTCGGCGGGTATTGGAATTATTGCCCTCGAACTGGACAGGACGGTGTCAATCTCGGTTTTCTGACCAGAACTTTGAAGGGGCCTTACAAGAGCTGCGAGACGCAGCCGGATGATCTCCTGCAGAGCAAGACCGAACTGCCATACCGCAGGCACAGCAATGAAGCCGGCGCCGTGAGAAATAATTGAGGCGAGGAGTTCAGGCAGCGCGTCTTGGGGGTCAAACGAAGCAGAATGGATCCAACTATCACACATATGGTACTCGTCATGCACGAAGTTTGCCTGTAAAAGGTAGTCCAGCAGCTCAAGAGAGGGGAATGATGGCGCGCGGGCGCTGCCTTTGAGTTCGGCTAGAACAATAGCAAATAGCCGATCGCGGGTTGCAGCGGTCATCTTCAGATGGTCTGCCCAGCCGTTCAATGGCGGAGCCGCTGCAGAAGACCGAGGGAGGGTCTCGTCCTCGTCTACATGAAGGCCTGCCAAGTCTCTCTGGACGTAGTTTTTCGAGTTCTCCGGTTCCCACAGCCAGGGCGATCGTTTGAAGGCGGCGTGGCGCTTGGCAGTGTCTTCAAGGCCCCGGCCCGTCGTTCTCGAAGACGTCGACACGGAGCTTGAGCCGAACCGGGGAATGGCAAGCTCGCCCCAGAAATCCCAGGATGCGAAGTCCATCTCCGGGAACGGGTTGTGCGGTTGGTTGAAGAAAAGCATCTCGTCATTCATGGCGGCTGGAATGGCCTCGGGAGGGACATGGTCGCCAATATCGCTGTACAGAGCTCCTTGGGCACTGCCGGAGATGGACATGGGCTCCGACCTTGGGTACGGGATGGCGTAGTCCGACACATCGGAAGGGTGGGTCCCCGTGTCTAGCGTCGGGGAGATACTGGCGCCGTCTCCAAGAAGCATCAGCAGCAATACAGGTCTTCTGGACGAGTAGGCCATTACCAACTGTCCTGTACTTCTGGGTCTTCTTCGACACCCTTTCACAGGCAATGCTCTTTGCCCGACAGCGAGAGCAGGGCTTCTCATCATCACATTTGGCCTTCGACGCCGCGCAGCCGAGACACTGACAAGTGTTAGTTGGTATTTCCTACTTGGGGCATGGCTCCGTGGAGACCCACCGCTTCAACGGTCCGCTCCGTCCTGCGGATCATCGACCGGCCCCCGTCGCTCTCCCGGTCGTGGGTCGCTTCATGGCGCGTGAGCAAGTCGGCGCGATTGAAGCGCTTGGGACACCGGGAGCATTGGTACTGCCGGGCATTCTCGTGCGACCGTAGATGTCTCGTCAGGTGGTCGGCACGCTCGTAGACGCGCTTGCAGAGGTGGCAAACGTGAGTGGGTGCGGCGGTGGAAGGTGGGGGGCTTCGCCGCGCCCGTTTCACGAGCGGCTGCTGCGCGAGCTGATCGGCGGCGGCGGAAGTAGCACTAGGAAAAGACTGGATGGAGCGGAGGAGGTCGGAGCCAGCGGCGTCACACAAAATGTCAATGCCATTCTGCTCCATGGCCCCGAGAAAAGTAGGCTCTGCAGCGTGCTGGCGCGAGGGAAGCATGGCCGGGGAGAGGTGGAGGGGAGGACCCGGTGGGGCCGGTGATCGAGGTGGCTCCTGCCTGGTGCTCTGGCGCGTTTGGGTGGACGTCCGGGGGTTCGTGGGCTAGGATGATTTGATGGTCTCTTCCCTGCCAGTGGATGAAGAAACGACAGCGGAGGAATGCTTGGGCAAGAGAGGTTTTCTTCTTCTTGCTCCCCTCTCTCACCGCAACCCTGTTACGAATCCAGTCGTTATTTTCAGTTTCAGACAGAAGCCCGCCATCGGCGGCGCAGAACCCACGTCCCTGTCTTGACCAATCACTTTCCACTTGCCGCCAATCAATCGTAGATTGCTCAAAGCCGGCTTCTTTTGCCGAGACATCGAAATGGGACAAAGGCTCGGTTGCATCCGACACTCAAAATTGACGTCTGCTCTTGCCATTCGAATCATGGTTTACAGCGAGCCGCAGAGCTTCGTCCAACATCGCTACAGGTACCTATCGCAGTCAAGTATCAGGCTCGTCTGGAAGCCGGTCCCAAGGACTCCACCGAAACTACCTCAAGATGAACCTCTAGCAGCTCTTGTCCTGCCCTCTAGACCAGTTACATGCCTTGATCTCGCGAGCTTCATACCGTATTGGCTCGCAATATCGGCCTTTACTCTAGCCCTGTGCACGCACTGAATACTTTGTCAGCGCCGCCACGCAAGACCGCAAACGAGCCAGTGTGCCCGGGCAGAGGCCTGTTTTGATACCGCAAAGGCTGCCTGATGAAGCTTATGGATGTCTTGTCGTGCAAGGAGCGCTTTTTGGCTTTGCGGAAGGCGGCTGATAAGACTGAAGGCGTGCACAGAGCAAGAGTAAAGGCCAATATTGCGACTCAATACGGTAGACATAACCACAAGCGCGGTCAATACCCACATAAGATCACCCTGGCTATGCGATCTGGCTGGATAAACCACCACTCCTAATCCCAGCGGTGAACCGAGTTCTAACCTTTGAATTCAAAGTCTACCTAGTCGACGGTTGCTCATCATGTATTGGGCATGCACAGCAACGTTGACTACCAGCGAGCCTAGCCAGCATTTGATTGTGACTGCCCGCAACTCATCGAGTCTTCCAGTTGATTTCTAGTATCTCACGGCCCGTTCATTTTGTTAGGCAGGCAGTTTGCAACCCCACATCTTGTTACAGCAAGCGAAACCGTTGGGAGATGTCGTGGCGGATATTTGTTGGTGCCTGAATCGATCTCGTATGGGGTCGAAAATCTCACACTCGGTGCTCTGGCAGCCGTTCTTTGGGACCACCAAGCAGAAGATTGGCCTGCGCAAACAACGAACGAAAGGTCATGTATTGGTTTCGCGAATCGGTTGATGTGACGCCTGGCAAGGTGGTCGAGGCGGCCAATTATGACAGTGCCCAATACAGCCCCTGAAACACTCACACTGTCCTGTGTCAACATCCCCAACAGACAGCCACCAACATCGATACGAGCCCAATGGGACGAGTTACTTTCACCTGGATATACCGAATCAAGCGTATTCTACTCTACATGAGCCTAGTCCAATGATGGCATCATTTCTCATCGTTCCACCTACACAAACACATCAGCTCACACACGTGCATCCGCTGCTTCCAGATCACCGATAGAACACTACACCAACAATCGCACAGACACATGAGAATAGCGAACACGCGGCCTCGGTTTGACGCGGAAAAGCATAGGCACCGAGATAACGCACTCTCTTCAACCTTCGTCTCCACCACTCAGCTCCCGCGACTCGACCCTCATCCCCACATCCTCTCCACAAGCCACGAGGTGCTAACCCAACCCCATAGGGCCTATTACCACAGGCTCCTTCCAACAAATCACAATCGGGTATGGTGTAGTGGCTAACATCGCTGACTCTCACTCAGCAGCCCGGGGTTCGATTCCCCGTTCCCGAGATTCCAGGCATCACCATCGCCTGACCGCAACCAAACTACAGTGCATGGCAACATTCACACCTTCTTCCGTAGTATAGTGGTCAGTATGTGAGCTTGTCAACATTCTTTGGGTATTGCCTCCGCTCGAGACCCGGGTTCAATTCCCGGCGGGAGAGAATGAGGTTGGGGATGGTGGTGTCCGGTCCTTTTGTTTTCCTCACCTGTACCCTTTCATGGCTGCGGACGAACATGACACAACAGACGGCATCATTCGACTCTCAAGCCCCTCGGGCATGGAGTCCACGTATCAGGTATCTTCTTTTGCTGCCGCTGGCGCATTTCCACTGCGATATCGAAGCGCGAACGTCCATCCCCACAGAACACAACATCCGACATGCGGCATCAACCGGCACCCATCGGGTACGGAAACCGCCGCAACCCATCAATGTCCTTAGTTGACACGAGTTCCCAACCAACCGACCACCAACTTGCCACCAGCTCACGTCCAACCCAACCCCATAACACAGCACCTGCCCCGACACGCGGCCCAAAGCATGACATGCCATCCACCACTCTCAACCCAACACTGTGAGCACAATCACCATCCAGTCGCACTGCTTGGCGCACACACGCCGATCCCCACAAGGCATGAACGACAAACAACAAAAACAACAACAGTACAGTAGCTCGAATCCTCGCCAATCTAGTTCCCTCCCCCGCCCAAGATGCCACACCCCTGCGGTGGCGCAACAGCAGAATGACGCTCAGGGGGCCATACATCGGCCGTCGGCAAACGGCATCATCTTTCCAAATTTCGTGTAACAAAGTATTGAAAGCCACCTGTGTCACCAAGTGTTCTCAGCTCTACATGTCTCACCCTGCACTTCAGTTCTGGAAGTTGGACAGAGAGCAAAAAACTTTTTGAAAAATCGAGGTATCAAGTCTAGACTTCGTCGATCATGAAACTCTGGCCATGCTGCCTGGATATGTGAGTGACCCGTTGTCTGCGCCGAGACACCATGAAAACGCCGTGCCCATCGTACAGTCTCACCTATTACCCAACCAATTCTAGACCGACAATGCTGACGACCAACGGCGCCAACCGTAAAATCCCAAAGCAAACGCAATCCACACACACCGACTCATGCAGTGGCTGATGATTCCTTCCCTCCCTCATCCCATCCGCTCTCCACGACAGCCAAGAACCATCCGGGTAAACATTGCATTGGTAGGAAACAAATGCTGTCCAGCAAGCTCGTGGTAGATATGTCGTATGGGTGACCGAGTTCAATAGCAGGCTGTGCCGCAATGACCGCACGCTCTGCCTTGTATAACCCACACCTCCTCGCCCTTCTCGGCGCACTTGGGGCAGCGAACTCCGGGGAGCTGTTGGGCCCGTCGCGGTTAGCTTGGTTCTCACATGACCTGTGGCCACTGCATGACACCCGCTGACGGTACCAGAATATCACGTAAGGGGCACGGAGATCCTTCCAGTCAGGCAATAGGATGGGGAGGAAAGCGTACCATTGTGACGGGACTAGCGTGTGAAAGGGGTGTGGTGGGTATGGGTTGTGTCGGTTCTGGCGATGTGCCTGTGGGGGTTCGAGCGGAGAGGGAGCCTGGTGGGGGCCGGTAGACCGAAGAGGTATTGAAGATGATGGAAGTGGGAGCAGAGTATTGAATGACTTGAGCTGACTGGTGTGATGAAGAACAGAGAAACGAAAGGGGAGGTGGGATGGGCGAATAAATAAGAAATGCCGAGCGAGGCGGTAGCAGCACCATCAAACTCCTTCGACGTGGGTCCCAGCTGGTGTCATGAAGGACAATGGGCTTCCGGAACGGGAACGGGATGATGAGTGGCAAGGCAAGTCCCTGCACTTGAAGGAGACGCCATCACGGGTTGCTCGTTGCCGTCTGTGATCGTCGGTGTGTGTAGCCGCTGCGTGGAAGCAGACACTAACGGGACATTGCAGCGAGAAGCCATCCCGGTGTAAGACAGTGCGTGGGCTGTCGGCTAGGCTAGTCAAGGACTGGCCATCTTGATAGCGCCCCGGGGGACGGGAAGGGGGAAGAGACTAAAAGGCTAGCAGTTACGAAGTCAAACGGAGAAATGCGGAAGATGGGCAGCAGGGTGTAGGGTATCGGCGGAGTTACTGACTTCGATTCGGGAAGAGAGCCAGGGTAGGGTGAGCAAGAGATATGTCGAGCATCAGATGTCAAACTGCTGAGCCCCGCCTCGAGGACCAGCGGGCGACAGTCGAAATACGGAAATCTTTCGATGCTGGGCCGCTGCTCCCGCTCGGTTTTGTTGAACATCACAACTGGGACCCCATCCAGAGGCTCGATTGGACGCGGGCGCCGCTCGCGTTCGTTCTTGATCTGGGCAGGACAGGGGGGCGCTGAGTGGGGGAGCGCAAACGCCCTCGCTTCCGCTGGGATTTGCAATGGCAAAGATGCGCGGCAGGGACATGGGGCCCTGGGGTTCGCCGCGGCCGCGATCTGATGGCTTGCTCGAGCCAAGTGCCTCGAGCGTGTTGACAGGCACTTTGTTGGTGTTGAGAAAACCGATTGGAAAATGCATTAGACCGACTAGGACTGTCAATCCCTGGTTCGCACCATGTCTTGTCTGGACAACGCCGCTGCAGGCGATCCAAAGGTGCAGCCGTGTATCCCGGCCTCGATCATGCAACATCCGACTGTTGCAGTTACCCCGCGGCGAGGTACCTGGGGAATTATGGCCTCGCGCAGACGGGGGCCAATGTGTGACAAATGACCGACATCTTGCTGTTGCCCATCTCGGCGTGTTCCTGGCAGGATGGCGGCCTTTTCCCACATCCAGGGTGCGGCTGCCCCTCGCTTCCCGTCTGACAACTGACAGTTTGCGAGGGGGGGTGTGACGAACAAACAGTTCTGGCGAGCGGCGGTTGGGCACGCGACAAACGGCGGATCAAACGAAGCACCTCAAGGTGGCCGATGGAGACCTTCCATTGGCAGTCGAAGATCGTCTTTGCTTGGTACGGTGGTGGGAGACGTACCCTCGTGAGTCTCGCAGCGGCAAGGCATCGCTGCAAAAAGTACCTCGCGCCTTCCCACTCCAAAAACTTGACACCTTCCAAAGGTTCGCCCCGCTCTCGGGCAAAAGAGCGGCACGTCTTCAGCACAGGAGCCCCGCCGCCATTTTCCCTGGTCGTTTGTTCTACTTTTTTGATTGCTTTTTCTGCCCCTATCTTCACACCGAGAATTCTCTGCGCTGGGGACAGCTCTGCCGCAACTTTCCGGTGTGGTGGAATTGCCTTTTCGCTCATGCTCATAGCGTCTTCTTTTATGACTTGGGACCGCTGTCTCCGCTCCGAATCGCGGGCCTAAAACACTTCCATGATTTGAGACTGCAAAGGCGCTAACGCGTCAACCACACACCATCACTCGACAGGGGTGTAAAGGGCAGCGATTACACTAGGTGCTCGAGGGCTTTTCTACGTTACTGTGCCTTGGGACCAATGATATGGCTCATACCACACTTCCACGAGATCGACAGCCGCTAATCTCGATGTCAGTTCGCATCTGCGCATCATTGTGCCTTACCTACCCTCCCTTCAAAAAGATGCGTTTGCTGGCATTCTCGTCTCCGAGTTCGACAAACCACTCCCCTGTTTCCCAGTTGGCGTGCCCGAGCGGCACCCTCGGCAGGGCAAAAAATCAGAAACTGGGTAGCGAACCCGCCAAGGCGGGGGCTGCCTCAGCCCAACCAGCTCCTCGGTGTCAATGGCGTCGCATTCGAATGCCCCAGCGTGCTTTGGTGCGCCTTGACCTAAGACCTTGCCTCTCGGTGGTGGGGGTTGCATTTCGCTTCTACTGTGTATTCCAAACCATGCAATAGGTTCGATGTTTTCTCTTGTTTCTCTTCGGCTGTGCGGCAGCATATCGGGCTTCTGTCCCGAACGAGCCTCAAGGATATCGCGCTTTCGCTGGCTTCCTGTCCCCCACGGAGCAAATATCGGCAGTTCTCTTGTCTCAGTCCAGCTCTGTGACGAGTTAAAACGCACACGGTGAAATCTGTGGCGCAAGATACCACAAGCATGGAACGCCGAGGCGCCGCAGGCTCAACTCTGTGTTCCTCCTCCGCTCTGTGGCTTGCGGTAGGCAAGTCACGACCTTCACCGCCTCCCGGGGGTTCGAGATAACCTTGTCAGGAAGGTACAAACGAGGAGCCTTTGACCCCAGCCTAGAATCGGAAGCTGACGTCTCCGTGCGGAATACAATCTGGGTCATACCATGATTCAGACCCCCGAGGATGTCATCATGCCTGCACCGATAAAAGGAATAACAGCGTTTTTTCTCGGCATTCAGGAGAGCCCACTCCGCTGTCATTGCTGATGCTATACGCTGGGATCTAGCCGCTGACATGGCAGAACGAGCTTACCCTTCTGACAGGAAGGGAACTGGAAAAGAGCGGCAACAGTATTTGCAATCACGGATTACGCAGCACCTCCAGGCCCTCGGTACACGCAATACTCACACAGGTACGAGGGGAGAATGCGGATTCAGGCACAACCGAGCGTGTCATCTGTTGTCTGTGCGATGCTGTGGTTTGGCGTTCCGCCCCTCAATTTTACCACCCAGCTGTCTAACCCGTCCGCGGTAGGTAACCTGAGCGTTGTCAGCCCATTCAAAACAAAGCATTATCGCACCTCATCGATTAACAACACCGGCAAGTCCACACCTCTCTTACAAGGCAATTAGTCAAGGATGGGCCGTTGAAGCACCCTTTGAGCTTTGAGAGTCTTCATCGTGGGGTATCCCGCTTCCCCAGACGGGGCGCCGTGAAGGTCGCCGCGCAGTTCAGCAATGGCGTAAGGGGGCTGACCAAAAACCAAAGCAGTTCCCTAGAGCCGAGTCCCACATCGCTAGCTAACCCTGTTACGGAGTCTCCTCGGCCAGAATTCTATCTTCCTCAAGCTCGTCCGAGCACCGAAACCCTCCCACCACGCGGAACATGTCGGGTGCTGCTCGGCGTCAACCAGGAGAGTTTGTATCTCAAGAACTGTTGTGTCACTTTCCACTGGCTTTCCTGGATAGTCTCGCATTACACAGACGACGGAGAATTTTTCTATCGTCTGCTGCTGACACAAACGCGGCTCACTGCATGCCGACTAAAAACAAGCGAACCAGTCTGTCG